TTATAGCAAACATACGTTTGCTTCATCGGCGCTCCCACCAAAGAATATGATATAGAATAGGCCTGACCTTCCTTAAAACTCACTTATGCCCTGTGACTCAAGGGTATTCGTGGCAGTGTAGCCAAGTGTTAGCGTGTCAAGCTACCATCCTGCACCGTCGCGGTTCGAATCCCGCTAAGTGTGTTGATAAGACCGATGCGAGGTCGAGACTACAGTCCACCCAGGATGAGAACAACTTTTATGAAAGCAAGGCTACGTGAAATTCAATGAAAACGTCAGCTCAACTCATATTATTGTGGGAAAATTCTACTACCAGTCCTTCATCACCTTACACGAAATAGATCGAATACATCTCATCACACTGATTTACTGGTAGTCTCGAAACCCTACTTTAATACGAATATAAGTAACGTTGTCGATTACTATAGAAAACATAAGACTGATAAAATTCTACTACCAGTCCTTCATCACCTTACACGAAATAGGGTGAATACATCTCATTACACTGATTTACCTACTACCAGTCCTTCATCACCTTACACGAAATAGGGTGAATACATCTCATTACACTGATTTACTGGTAGTACTACCAGTCCTTCATCACCTTACACGAAATAGGGTGAATACATCTCATTACACCGACTACCAGTCCTTCATCACCTTACACGAAATAGGGTGAATACATCTCATTACACTGATTTACTGGTAGTCACTTCCAGTCCTTCATCACCTTACACGAAATAGGGTGAATACATCTCATTACACTGATTTACTGGTAGTCTCGATTCCTTCATCACCTTAGACGAAATAGGGTGAATACATCTCATTACACTGATTTACTGGTAGTCTCGAAACCCTTACTTTCATACGAATAGAAACGTAGTGCCAACTATTCACACGATTTCATATAGATCTGCTTTACTTCTGTAAATGGATCAATGCTAAGACTACCTCGATGAAGCATGTTAACAACTAGGATCAATGTGCCAAAAATTTGAATTACTCAATATATATTAGCAAGGCAAAATTGGTATGCACTAAAGCTAAAGAGATTTAGTGATTGGTTTTTGCATTATTAAACTTGATCACTTGATCGCATTTATTTAGGCGATAAGTAACTTCTTCATTTTCAATGAAT